TACGCATGTCAGAGGAGGTTTTTATCCTGGTGCTCGTAAACAAACAACTTATCAGATGACTTCCTGACGTACACACACACAACCACACACACACACACACACACACACACACACACACACACACACACACACACACACACACACACACACACACACACACACACACACACTTCATGAAAGCAGTGGACCCTTCAGACAGACCAACACAGGACANTGAACACAATCAAGAAAACAGGTAGGAGGGAACACACACAGACAGGAAACCAAAGACAGATCTAAACAAGACAAAACACAACACAGACAGATCGTGACAATTGGTCGATTTTGGTGATTGACATCTCTTTTGAACCGTTAGAGCCAATAGAATCGAAGGGGAAGTTCCACATACACACACCTTGCCTTTGAGGAGTGAGAGTGACGTGCACGCAGTAGAAAGCTATGTTACCCTCAGAAAACTGAAAACTGAAACCGAGGCTCAAAGTAAATATGAAGATGGATTATCAGTAATCATTTCAAAGTGACACAGACACATTGGATTAACCATTGGATTAACCTTCAGCAGCGTTTTTATCGTTTTGATGCCATTGAACACAACTTTTGATCAGAACAACAGCAAAGGTACGACTATTCGCGTGTTTGCTCCATAAAGCTACGTGTTGTGATGCCTGTGTTTGCTTCCCCTGTCGCTCAGTGATGATACTTATATTTCTGGAATCTGTGGAATCTCAGCTTGCTAATCGATATCTTGTTTGTGCAGATCTGATAAGTAATAAGGGTATTTTACCTTGAGTTATGTGCTAAGTGCGTTAGCATTTTATAATATATAATATTTTAAAAAAGCATAAAAGCCCCAATACTTGACTGACAAAATGCAGGTTTTTTTTAAAGAAAGGTTTGCAAGATTATGCCGAAAATAAACTGCCTACCCTAGTTAGAGTGTTTTCTTTGCACCCATTAAATAAAGCGCTGATTCATAATCAGTGTCAGTGCTGTTAGCTGCACATAATAGACAATCAGCCACTTGGAGCTGGGTATAAATTATAGACTGTGCAAGTAATAATTCATATGTGAGGTTAAAGGAAAGGTCAGGAGATGTATTTAAAGATATAATTTGTGTTTAAACAATCAACGGCCAACATCTTTACCCCTTAATTACATTCTTATATGCAGATCAGGTATTTAACTTGTTTTCAGAAACCTGTTATTAACTGCACAGACAATTAAATCCTGTTAAATTTGAACATAACTCCTCACCTTTTTTCTAAATGTCACGCGTATGCTTAAAGTCTTACTTGTAAATTATTATCTAAACTATGTGTGTACAGTTTAGGAATGTGTTTACAGATTTTCAGATATTTTTCAAATTAATTAGCTTTAACCCTAATATTCGAAGCCAGTTGTTCATTAAACTTGAAGTTGTGTTATACATTTCACATTTTGCTACACTTTTTTTTTTATAAACAGGTAAATGAATAGCAACGGACAATAGAAAGAAACAATACATAAAAACAAAATACAAAGAACTTCTTTTTAAAAAATACAAATAAGGGTGAGAGTATGTGTGGCATGAAGAGGGCATGGTCACAATGTAAGTAACTTTCTTTTAAATAAAATCTGTTCTGTAAGGGCTGATAAACTCGATCCAACCTTCCCAACATTTATCACATAGATCCGTCTTAAGTCTTAAAGAAAATGTCAGTTTTTCCATCACAGAAATTTCGTGCATCCCATTAAACCGGTCTGATTGTGTTGGAGGGTCTCTACTGTACATAGCCATTTTTTTGTGATGGCTTTTTTACTGGCAACCAACGTTATCTTAAACATTTACATTTTGGAGCTGTGGTAGAGACATGCCCAGATACAAAACTCGAAAGGAATAATCCAACTTAACCTTCAAAACTTTGTCCATGCTGTCTCTGATCATCGTCCAGTAAGTCTGAATCCCAGAGCAAGCCCAAAACACATGGTGATGATTCGCTTTCGCGTTCCCGCAGCGTCTCCAGCATGTTGTCTGTCCCTCCCTTGTCTGCCTCAGAGCAGGTGTTCACTTTATATTCTTCAGTGTTTTTGTTTCATTGAGACACGTGTCACAGGATGAATACAAGTATTGAATTTAATGAATGTTTTCCCCCACCCTGGATTGTCCTAAATACATAGCACTAGTACATTTATCAGCCACACGTACAAAGTGTGTAGAGGCACACTCAGTGTTACTGATGCGTAAAATGTCTCTTATTTCACATAAATATCGCACGTCTTGTCAACCCTGAGAGACACAAGCACACACACACACACACACACACACACACACACACACACACACACACACACACACACACACACACACACACACACACACACACACACACACACACACACACACACACTTAATGAAAGAAGTGGACCCTTCAGACAGACCAACACAGGACAGAGAGCGGGCGGAGATCATAACTGGATCTGATGGCTGCTAAGGTGACCTGATCTGTGAAATGGAGGACAAGCGTCACATAAACACAACACATGAAATACAGTCACTATATAACGGTCTACATATATAACC